ACCTCCCATGCCATCTCCACTCCTCCATCCCTCTCCTGTCCTATCTCCATCTGCTCCGATACTCACCTCGGACTGAACACCACACCTCTCACCACCCTCCTCCTACTCCTCCTCCCACTCGATGATGGCAGTGGTGCTGGAGATGACGGGGGAGAGCTCGGAGTAACTGTCTTGGTAGGTTCGGAAGTTTGGAATGTAATACTGCTTGAGACCCAGTCAATCAATGGATTGTAGCAGGTAAGCCAGTTGTGTCCTAGGACTAGAGAACAAGATCCATCCAGCGATGTGACAAAGAAAGTCATGGGGGTGATGTTTCTGGAAGCGAAGCGGAGGGGAATATCAATGGCGTGGGTTATGATTGAGTTAGTGCTACCATCGAAAAGGTGTAGTTCTAGAGGTTTAATCTGATATGTCTTCAGGGCCAACTTCTTCATGAATGTGTCGTTGATGAAGCAGTCTGAAGACCCAGAGTCTATGAGTGTGGGAACATTCTCATAGGCAGGAAGTGAGCTCCACCAGCCAGTTCTCGAATTTTTCGAGATCATTTCCCCAGACCACAAAGTGGTGGGGAATGGCACAGAGTTCTTTTTCAGTAACTCTGGTTTTACATCGGCTGGGAGAGGTGTTAGGATACGAGCCTTTACAAGGTTCGATACCCTTCTTACAAGATTGCCCTTGAAACCCTCCAGGTCTCCAGGGGTCATACTGTTAGGGTCCCTAGAATAGGACCTAAGAGTAGTTTCGATGAACCCATTGTTCGGGTTGGCGGCACTCACCATCCTCGGAACAATTGAGCTCATCACCCGAAGAGGGTTCAGATTGTTGCTGAACTCTCTTTTCACAGGAGAAATTAGGTTTATCAGGGCCTCAACCTGAGGACCCGGCATATGACGAACAGTAGGCTGGGGAGTCAAGACTTCTTGTCTCAGCTCCTGCTCTTGTTCATGTTGTTTACTAGGCCAATTAAGGCCAAAGAAGGTGGCCGCATCGCTGTCGCCACCACCAGGAGGCACTTGTGCCTTGAACTGCCTGTAGGTATTTAGCCTACTCTCCAGTTCTCGAGCATGGCCTTGGTGTTCTGATTCAAGACCATGCGGCATATAGACATATGCCACATCGTCATCCACTCGCATCCTATATTCCTTGGATGCTTCACTTGGTGCAGGAGTAGCAAAGAGGTGTCTTTGCTTCCTCTTGATTTCACCTCGCTGGTTGACCACAATGGCCAAACCAGTTCCATGACAAGATATACGAGGCAATCCTGCCTCAACATCTGCATTATCAGAATCTGATGAACTAATGAAAACCACAGGTGGTTCTCAAGAGTTTAAGCGAGACATGTTCAGTTGTTCCACAACTGTCATGACCACCTGCCCCAACATTTCAGTGATGTTCTTCTGTAGACCCTCACTCCTGTTGGCCTCATCATCAGGAGGTTGATTCTGTGGCTCGAGAAAGTGATCAGGTTCGTTACGATCCTTGTTCACCCATTCTCTTTCCAATGGGAAGGTATCCACGCCAGTGATGAGGCAGATTCCTCACTTTCTGGGTCAGGGTATATAGTGGCCATCTGCATTCCAGGATCCCCTGAACCTGGGACATGGACAAACTTGGGCAGGCCGTTGTCGTCATGCAGATTCCAAGTCATTGTAACCATGGGAAAAGTCCCTTGGTCACACAGCATCTGTTTAGATGCCCTAGTTGGATCTAGGGTTCGTCCAGGCACAGTTGATGCAGGCTCTGAAGGTCCTTCAGGAACCTTTGGAGTCTCTTCCAATTTGTCAGGTTCGATGGGTCAGGGGGCTTCTTCAGGGCAAAGCTCCTGACGACCCTTGAGCACGTCTAACCTTTCCAGAATGGTGTTAAATCAACTGTCGAGCCCTTTTTTGAAACTCACAAATGTCTGGATGAATTCCCTCCATGGCACATCTTCTCGTGGTGCAACAACGGAGAGCGGTAGGTCTCCCTTTGTCACTGCTTTGTCAACAGGGGGATTATTAGTCCCTGTTGGCTCACCACTTGTGTTGGAAGTAGGGGCACAGGTGCTGAAGGGCCTGTGCTTCTCACCGCTGACTGAGTCTCTGTGTCAATCGGTGTGAGGTCCAGATCGGCAGTGATTGCAGCTGGGGCTTCTGTATCAGCCACCACTCTAAACGAGTCTAGCTCATCTGGAGGCACATTAGGGCTCCTGATCGGGTCGGGGTCAATTGGTGCGGTGTTGGCCTCACCAACATCTACAACGGGATCAAGTTCTCACGCAGATTTCTGCACAGTCTTCGTCTTCTTTCAATAAGAAGACGATCCGGCTGCCCCTCGAGAACTCATTGGGGAAGAGGGTCTGGGTGCAGATTAGATCGACATGCTTTGCAACGTTGATCGAATCGGGAACAAGCATGGGGTTAACTGGATTACTTACTGAGCGTAAAAAAGTGTAAGCACATGGTTATAAGCGCCTCACACTCCTGGTCTGTCACACAAATATGCTTTAATGAGCTATATTGTTAACGGGGGAGTAAAGGCTGAGGAGCCTTTCCTCCTACCCACACATCTTATATATGTGTATTTACATGATGTAATGCGGCTTAGTATTATACAGGTTGTTTATGTTACTGAAGCGCGACTGCAGTCATGCTTGATGTGAAGTATGGAAAGGACAGACAATGTGTGGGTACACATTGTAAGTCCTTACAGCTTGTGCTGGTGAAGATGTCATCGAACCAGATGTGTAGGTGTCTGCCTACTTCTCCTCATAGTTCCCAGGTCAATGCATGCTGGAAAGCACAGGGAACATTGCAGTCTCCTTGCTGCATTGTGTTTGAGTTGTATGTCCTGCGGGGCGTAGAGAATGTTGTCCTATGGACGTGGTCTGGATCCACATGTATTTGTTCATACATGTTCAACATATTGATCTTGGATTGGTATGTTGCTCTGGCAACTGTCAGGGCACACCCACCTGACCCCACTCCACCTGGTCTGACCCCACCCAATCCCACTACCCTCACACGGTGCCCCCATCCTCCTTCCTCCCTTCTCTCCTCCCTCCTCTCTCCTTCTTTCTTTCCTTCTTCTTTCCTTTTCTACTACACGGATGACTTTCCTTGCATCGATGTACCATTAACTCAGCTGTGCAACATGCCCGGACCCAGACACACCAGGTGACACCCTACACGCTGGACACTCCTGGGATCTCTTACAGAGATACCCAGGCAGATACAGCTGTGTATGTAGTTGATGTGGCACCCCCCATGTGACCTCCAACTGCATGTACATAAACACAGCCTAAGTGGGAACTGAGAAGTAACCTTCTTCTCACACTTCCCACTTTAGGCAAGTAGCTTACATTCCCCCTGTTAATAATAATAACACACTTCCCACTTTAGCCTAAGTGGCCAGGGACACCCTTTTGTGCCAGGCCCATTAGTACACATGCCCATGCTACACCCTATTGGGTTGTCATATCCATGCATACCCAATCCCAACCCGACTCCCAGACCTCCTTCTTCACCACCTCCGGAGTCCTACCCTACCGCTGTCCATTCCGATATTCACCTTTGGTCCTGACACCACACCTCCCCTCACCCCTCATGCCACCTCCACTCCTCCGTCCTTCTCCTGTCCTATCTCCATCCGCTCCGATACTCACCTTGGACCGAACACCACTTCCTCATAACACCTCCACCCTTCCGTCATTCTCCTACCCTTCACCCATCCGCTCCGATACTCACCTTCGGACCTGACACCTTTCCTCTCCTCCACTCCTCTCCCCTTTCCACTATCCTCTCTCTTCCCTCTGGCCCTCTTCCGCCAACCTTCTGCCAAGTTACGACCTTCCGCTGCTGTCCCATACCTCGTACTCGGACACCACTCGTACCTTCGCTCCGAGTCTCCGTGTCAGGGACGCGTCCGGGGTGGAGGGGGCCCGGCTGTAGCGCCCGGCAGAGGGACCCTCTCGGGGGACGAAGCGGGCGCGCGTACTGATGGGCCTGATCTGGGACTATAGTCCCTGGCCACTTAGACTGAAGTGGAAAATGTGAATTGTTATTAAAAGGAAGAACTACACTACTTACCTGAAGTGGAAAACATGAGAAGAAGGTTACTTCTTCAGTTCCCACTTCAGGTACATTTATGTACATGCGGCTTGGGTCACGTGATGGGTGCCACGTCATCTGCGGAGAGGGCCGCAGCCATCCGGGTATCCCCATGGGGGATCCCGAGGGCATCCGCACGTGCTGGGCGTAGCGGGAGGTCGCCCGGGGTGTCCGAGCCGGACGGGTCAGCAGTACAATGATACAAGGGAAGGTGGTCCGTGTAAATAGAAAGAATAAACAGAAAGGGAGAGTGAAATAAAGGAGGAAGAGAAAAGAGGGAAGAGGGAGGAAAGGGGAAGAGGGAGGAAAGGGGAAGAGGGAGGAAAGGGGAAGAGGGAGGAAAGGGGAAGAGGGAGGAAAGGGGAAGAGGGAGGAAAGGGGAAGAGGGAGGAAAGGGGAAGAGGGAGGAAAGGGGAAGAGGGAGGAAAGGGGAAGAGGGAGGAAAGGGGAAGAGGGAGGAAAGGGGAAGAGGGAGGAAGGATGGGTAGCGGGGAGCGGGTGAGCGGGTGAGCGGGTGAGCGGGTGAGGTGGGCCCAGGTGGGCCCGGGTGGAACCGGGTCAGGCGGGTGTGCCCTGACACTCCGTCATAGTTCCTACCTCGGACTTCGACTCCACCTCAGCTTTAGTCCATTGCATTGGTGACCTCATACTACGTAAACACCATTGCCAATATTCCTCGGACTTTCAACCCCACCTCCGTAACCTCCATAAGCTCTGCAACCTCCGAGCTCCACAGGTCATCTTCAGCACTTTCGCTGCTTGTAATGTATCTTTCGCATTTTCCCCTCATCCCTATTTGGACTGCTGCTTCTTCCCATTCTAGCCAGTTAGTCATCATCCCCACTTCCCCTCATCCTCCTGCCCCTCTGGGCTTCGCCCTCCTTACCTCCTTTCGGATGTACCACAGGTTCTGCCCTATGACTTTCAGTACCACTCTGCTTCTGTCATCCCTTTGTTCCCGTTCGGATGCCTTCATTCCGATTTGGACCCCCTTTGTTTCCTTGTGCTTTTGCCCTCTCCATTATATATATTGGCACTTGTACATACTCGTTTTAGGCCTTAGTCTAAAATTGACCTGAAATGCCCCCTAGAGACTTCCTGCTCACCTCCTATGAAATTAAGGACCAAATGGACAAACAGCAATGGCACAGCGCTCCACTTGAGTCACTGAGGCCAAGGTCCCTCCTTGCTAAGTCTCCGGTTCCCCTCCGGAATCGTCCGCCCTCGCCCAGTTCTAACACGGGTCCTCAGTGCTGGGTGACACATCTGGGCACTCTCAACCCTGGGTCGCTCCCTGACAGCAACTGATTCTTGGATCAGTTGCATGTCTGGCATTGGTGTGACATCGAGAATTGTGTTTGAATTATGATTTCTCACATCGATTACCATGCACAAAGATCCATCTGCTTTGCAGATTGTCATATCCATGCATACCTGATCCCAACCCGACTCCCGGACCTCCTTCTTCACCACCTCTGGAGTCCTACCCTACCGCTGTCCGTTCTGATATTCACCCTTGGTCCTGACACCACACCTCCTCTCACCCCCCCATGTCACCTCCACTCCTCTGTCCCTCTCCTGTCCTATCTCCGTCCGCTCCGATACCTACCTCGGACTGAACACCACCCCTCTCGCCACCCTCCTACTACTCCTCCTCCCACTCCTCCGCTTCCTCCCCACAACACCTCCACCCTTCCGTCACCCTCCTACTCTTCTCCCGTTCCACTCCAATACTCACCTTCAGACCTGACACCTTTCCTCTCCTCCACACCTTTCCTCCTTCCTCCTTCCTCTCTCTTCCCTCTGGCCCTCTTCTGTCAATCCCCCACCAAGTTACGACCTTCCGCTGCTGTCCTGTACTTCGTACTCGGACACCGCTTGTACCTTTGCTCTGAGCCTCCATCATAGCTCCTACCTGTCAGGGATGCGTCCAGGGTCGAGAGGGCCTGGGGGTAATGTCCGGCACTGAGGCCGTCGCGGGGTGTGGAGCGGGCGTGCGTACTGGCGGGCCCGATCCGGGACAGTGGTCCCTGGCCACTCAGGCTGAAGTGGAGAATGTGTTATTATTATTAAAGGGGAAAACTATACTACTTACCTGAAGTGGAGAATGTGAGAAGAAGGTTACTTCTTCGGTTCCCACTTCAGGTACATTTATGTACATGCGGCTTGAGTCACATGATGGGTGCCACGTCATCCTCGGAGGCAGCCGCAGGCATCCGGGTGTCCCTGTGGGGGATCCTGAGAGCGTCCGCTGCATGCGCACATGCTGGGCACAGCGGGAAGCCCTCCAGGGTGTGTGGGCTGGATGGGTCAATAGTACATCGATACAAAGGAAGGTGGTCCGTGTAGATAGAAAGAACTAAACAGGAAGAGGAAGATGAGAAGAATGAAATAAAGAAAGGGGAAGGAAGAGGGAAAAGAAAGGGGAGGAGAGGGAGGAAGGAGGGGGGAGGGGGATAGACAGCAGGGAGCGGGTGTGGTGTGGCCAGGTGGGTCCGGGTGGACCCGGGTCAGGCGGGTGTGCCCTGACATCACCCCCTCCTTAAGCCACTTTGCCTCGAAGCGGCCAGGGGGTTTGTTCTCTCCCTTCCTGGGGCATGGGGGTGTGTTTGGTGGAACTCCTCGATCTGGTCAGGGGCATGGATTAGTTGGTCTCGGGGGAGCCATTCATTCTCTGAGTTCGGCCAACCCGCGAACTTTACTAAATACCAGAGCTTCCGGCGTAACCACTTAGAGTCCAGTATTTTTTCCACTTCATATTCCTCCTCTCCATCTACGAGTTCTGGGCCTGGGCGGGGGTCGGGGGGTCGTTCTGCGATCTCGTCCGGGCGGTAGGGTCTTACGTTTGTCACAGATACGACTGGGTGAATTCCCTTTTGCCGTGCGGTGAGCTGGAGCTTGACAGCAGCTGGGGAGACGACCTTGACAACTTTGAAGGGGCCCAGCCACTTATGGTCTAGCTTCTCGGTTGGGCGGTCAGTCGTATAGTTTTGGGCGCTGAGCCAGACTCGGTCACCCTCCTGGTACTTGGGGGCTGTCTCTCGACCTCGGTCGTAGTAGCGGGCCATCTCGTCCGCTGCATGCTCCAGTGTTATGGAAATGGGAATTTCCCATTTTAGACTCTTATGGGTTCTGTGTCACATGATTTGTATAGTAATATAGAAAACCAATCAACAATTAACCAAAAACCCGCTGTGCTAACTTCTGTTACACCACATGTCAAACCATCTGTGAAACCACCTGTAAACCATTATGTCCAACCCCCTTCCCTATTCCTGCGCCAGAACGGACGAAAATGGGCGCTTCC